AAGTTTCACAGAAAATGAGCTTCGAATCACTCGGCGGTGATCGAGGACTTTGCTTCAGATATTCCTAAGATATCTGTACTGATTTTAGAAGAGAGAGAAGAGTTTAAGATGAAATGGAGATTTATCTTACAGAGAAATATGTGAGGGAATTAATCTGTTTGACCAGAAATTGCACGCTCCATCAGATATCAGCTTGCCCACGGTACACTTGGTCGAAAATAGAACCATCTACCTTGATGATATTATCAGCGTCGGAGCAGGTTCCCTTCTGACTCTTTTCAGCGTCTCCGTTGAGAACAGCTAAAATCCTTCGAGAGTCGTGCGTGGTTTGTTCAAACAGACGTCATAATTCCAAAACGTCTCTGGATCATCCTGAATGCGTTTGCACCCAAGAATTCTGAACTCCTTTCATTCTTCAGAACTTCTCAAACTCTTAATTGTCAGCAACTCTGTAGTTCTTCATCTCTGGAATTCTCTGGAATTCTACAGAATTCTCTCCATTCTGAATTCTCCATTCTGAATTCTTCCATGAACTGGGAAGTTGCCACATTTTAAATGGGTCGACTTCCGGTTCAATTTAGAGCTTTCTGATTCGTGGATGTACCAGAAAGAGGTGTGTTTTTGTGACGTAAGATGTTATCTAAGCCAAGGTCAGAGAATGAGATTGTTCAACAACTGACAGAGAGATTATTGCAGAAAAGCAGACTTCGTGGAGTCTCACACTTGGTAATCTTCTGAAAAAGTTTAAACATGACATCTTTCTCGGTAAACATTTTAGTTGACCGAAAACCGACCTTTCACATACTTACAAAACTTGGCTCATTTCAGACAGAGAACCAAGAAATGCATATTAACCTGATTTCTTCTTTGAATGAGGAATAAAAATCATTACTTACTGCTTATGTAAAATAAAAATGAGTAGTTCTTTCCAACCTGTAAGCATTGAATGGAACTAACACAATTTGATTATCAAACATTTGTAAACAGTAATGATTATAGAGAATTGTCTTTTCTGCTTGATTAATTCAAGAAAGAAAGTCACCAGATGGCTCAGACTGTATTCAGATCAATGAAATAACAGTCTCTGTCCATCTGATAGATTTGAGGTCATCAGGGTCAGATCAGGGTCAGATCAGGTTCACTACACTAGCAAGCCTTTCTTCGAAAGCGAGTTTTTAAAAGAATGCATGATAAATATCCTGATGCATGCTCAATAATCCAGGTAGAAAAATCTAAAAAAGTTAAATCTGGTCCTCTGGACATTCAAAAAAAAACAAAACAAAGCAAATCAACAAAAAAATGTAGAAACGTTTCGTCTCTCATCCGAGAGACTTCCTCAGTCTGAGGAGCTGTATTCAGCTCAGTCTCTTAAATAGCACCGTCTCAGAGTGGATCAACCAGTTTTGCTGCTGACAACCAAAACCAGCTGATCACATGGTCAAGAAGGACCATCAACCTAACAATGGATCATTAGCACACTGATGGCTGTTTACTGTTCACAGAGGGCTGAGTGATACTAGCAATCACAGCATTGTAAGAGGGGGACAGTTGAACCCGGAGGCCTCCACCCCTGTTTAATGATGGACGATTTCTTTTCACAAAGATGGCCTCCTTTACTCCTCTCTCAAACCATCATTCCTCTCTGTCCAGGATGTGAACATCTTCATCCCTGAAAGAGTGACCGCTGGCCTGGAGATGAGTGTAGACCACAGAGTCCTGGCCTGATGATGTTGATCTTCTGTGCTGGGCCATCCTTTTGGCCAGTGGCTGTTTAGTTTCCCCGATGTAAGACTGATCACAGCCCTCCTGACACTGAACAGCATACACAACATTGCTCTGTTTGTGCCGGGGGACTGGATCTTTGGGATGAACCAGTCTTTGCCGTAATGTATTTTGGGGTTTAAAAGCCACTGGGACGTTATGTTTAGAAAATAAACGTCTCAGTTTCTCTGATACTCCCTCAACATATGGAATGACCACTGGTCTGGGTCTGGGTTCCTCCTTTTCACCTGTTGGCTGACTGGAGTCTTGTTTGGGTCTATGGGGTCTCCAGTTTCTCCTATTGTTGCCAACCTGTACATGGAGGAGGTAGAAAAGAGAGCCTTGACGTCCTTTTCAGGGACACCACCAAGTCATTGGTTCAGGTATGTTGACGACACCTGGGTTAAAATCAAATCGCAGGAAGTCCAACATTTTACTGACCACATCAACTCTGTGGATAAATACATCAAGTTCACACGAGAAGATGTAAAAAATGGCAGGTTGGCTTTCTTGGACTGTGAGGTCTCAGTCTCTGATAGAGGACATTTGCAAACTGAGGTGTACCACAAACCCACACACACAGACCAGTATTTGCAGTTTGACTCCCATCACCCTTTGGAGCACAAGTTATGAGTCATCAGGACTCTGTACCACAGAGCAGACAGCATCCCCACTAGCTCAGGAGCCAGGCAGAAGGAGAAATCCCACACAAGACAGGCTCTAGAGCAATGTGGATATCCTAACTGGGCCTTCCTGAAAGCAGAGAAGAAACCCAAACAAGACTCCAGTCAGCCATCAGGTGAAAAGGAGGAACCCAGACCCAGACCAGTGGTCATTCCATATGTTGAGGGAGTATCAGAGAAACTGAGACGTTTCTTTTCTAAACATAACGTCCCAGTGGCTTTTAAACCCCAAAATACATTACGGCAAAGACTGGTTCATCCCAAAGATCCAGTCCCCCGGCACAAACAGAGCAATGTTGTGTATGCTGTTCAGTGTCAGGAGGGCTGTGATCAGTCTTACATCAGGGAAACTAAACAGCCACTGGCCAAAAGGATGGCCCAGCACAGAAGATCAACATCATCAGGCCAGGACTCTGCGGTCTACACTCATCTCCAGGCCAGCGATCACTCTTTCAGGGATGAAGATGTTCACATCCTGGACAGAGAGGAACGATGGTTTGAGAGAGGAGTAAAGGAGGCCATCTTTGTGAAAAGAAATCGTCCATCATTAAACAGGGGTGGAGGCCTCCGGGTTCAACTGTCCCCCTCTTACAATGCTGTGATTGCTAGTATCACTCAGCCCTCTGTGAATAGTAAACAGCCATCAGTGTGCTAATGATCCATTGTTACGCTGATGGTCCTTCTTGAGCATGTGATCAGCTGGTTTTGGTTGTCAGCAGCAAAACTGGTTGATCCACCCTGAGACGGTGCTATTTAAGAGACTGAGCTGAATACAGCTCCTCGGACTGAGGAAGTCTCTCGGATGAGAGACGAAACGTTTCTACATTTTTTTGTTGATTTGCTTTGTTTTTTTTGTTTTTTTAATGTCCAGAGGACCAGATTTAACTTTTTTAGAATGCATGATAAAGACAGAGCAGGTCTGTTGTGTCCGGAGAGCCAAGACAAGTTAGAAAAAAATCAGTTTATCACGCAGGACTGTGACTCGCCTTGTTACGATACAAGTAAGTTACGATATATTTGTTAGCACCGGATGAAAGTAATGATGTAAAGAGCACTCCTCAGCTCCTAATTTTTATCTCAGGGATTAACAACAGTTTTGAGATAATGGAGGTGTTTTTGACCCTGGAGTCTCTGAAAGGAAAAACACGGGGAGAGGATTTTTATAACCGTCTGCTGTCATCAAGAGAATGAAGCTTCTATGGAGTAAAGTTGACAATGTCACAACGGACACGTCACCAAATTTAAGTGTAAAACACGTCAGTCTGCTGAAAAGAGTTAGCAGGGACCGAGATGGTGTAGGGGCAGGGCAGCCGACTCAGGATCCAAAGGTCCTAGGTTCGATCCCCGATCATTGCACATCTTGTGGTGTCTCTGAGCAGGATACCTAATCCCAAATTGATCCCCAGGCAGCTTACATAGCTGCCCACTGCTCCACTTGGGTGTCTCCCAGGTGGAATGGGTTAAATGCAGAGAGCCAATTTCATCTTTGTATGGGAACATACAATGATGACAACACAGCACTTTTTAAAAATTTATTGTTATTAAGAATCCAGGATAAAGTGAAAAAGGAAAACCTCGACCAGGATGTTATTTTTCTTCACTGCATCAGGAATCACTGTAAGTCATGCTTTGTGTGTGTGTGTGTGAAACTGCTAACTGTGTGTGTGTTATCAAAAAAAATGTGAAAGACAAAAACGTGTGAATTATTGTGCAGGTACTCTGTTGTGATGCTGCATAGAGGAGCAGCAGGAGGATGACGTCTGCTTCCATTCCCAACCTGCCACAGCTGACCTGTCATCAACTTTAGATCCTGTAGTTGTAAAAAGTTTTGTGAGGAGTTTGTAGAGGTGAGCTGCCACTTTATTTTGACTTTTCTCCTGTATTCCATTAGCATAGTGAGGTAAGAGACTTGTGGTTTGGTTCATTTGAGTTTTCTTCAGGTACGAGAAAATACAGTGGTTTGTTTTGTTTGTTGTTTGGGCCTGAAGTTGGTAAGACTCCACAAAGTCAATAATGTCACTATTGTAAATAAAATCACTGTTCTATCATATAATCCTGACTTAGTGGCTGCTTGAGTGGTGCAGAAGGTGGAATCGTCCATAATTTATAGCGTCCCGGCGGCCGTTATTGTGCTGGGGTGTAACATCAAACAAACACTCCATCATCTGTTCCTGGTCCAGCCCTTCGCTCCAATTTTAGAACTCAGTGTGGCCCGCGAGTCAAAAAGTTTGCCCACCCCTGTTCTGGACTCAGGGCAATTCTTTCAGAACCGTGTACATCAACTTTTGGAAGGGAGTTGATGCTGAAACAAGTAGAAAAGGAGCTTGTGTGAACTGAAAAAGTGCCTCGTCTCATCAAAACTGTGCATGGTGGTAAACTGATCTTAGATCAGTCTGGCTGTGATGAACGGCACCAGCCAGTTGAGTAAACAAGTACACAAGTCAACAACAGAAGCAGAGTGTGATAGTCTATCAGCACACAATTATTAGGTTTACAAAAATCAGCACAAAGCCTAAAGTGTCCTTTGTGTTTTCATGCCACCACTGGAGGCCTCACCCACTCAGATGCTTGTACTGGTGCCTGTCTGGAGTCAGACTCTGAGCTCTGCTGAAACCTCTTCTTGTACCCTGAGTGGCAGAAGTCTCAGTTTTTGACTTTTCTAGTCCCTGTTTTGTTTATTAGAACTTTGTGGAGGAACAAGAACTGTATATATTTCATCATTAATAGAGGAGAACAAGAACAAGCCGGGTTTCTGTTTAGTAGTTAGTCTAAAGAAAAGTATTGTCCATGTTGAGACATACATCCCTAAAACTGAGTAGTGATGACGTCATGAGATTCTTTATAAATGTTGTCTTAGAGACAAAAACTTTGATGGCTCTTCATTTTCTACTTCTAAACTCAGAAGAGACAGAAGTCATGGTTTTCTTCAGACAGGAAGGACAAAGAGGAGATATATGGATGGAGTTAGAGAGGACATGGATGTAGTTGGAGTGAGGACAGAGGACAGAGGATGCAGAGGACCAAGGGAGGAAAGAAAAAGCAGAGGACAGAGTAAGGACATAAGACACAGAGGACAGAGTGAGGACAAAGGACACAGAGACAGTGAGGACAGAGGATGCAGAGGACAGAGAATGCAGAGGACAGAGTGAGGACAGAGAATGCAGAGGACAGAGTGAGGACAAA